CGGATGGTACTGGAGAATGTCATTCTAAGTGAAGTAAGCCAGAAAGAGAAAGAAAAATACCATATGAGATCGCTCATATGTGGAATCTAAAATAAATAAATAAATACAAAACAGAAACAGACTCATAGACATAAAATACAAACTTGTGGTTGCCAGGTGGACGGGGTGGGAAGGGGCTGGGATTTAAAATGTATAATAGATAAACAAGATTGTACTGTGTAGCACGGGGAAATATATACAGGATCTTGCAGTAGCTCACAGCAAAAGAGAATGTGACAATGAATGTAAGTATGTTCATGCATAACTGAAAAATTGTGCTCTACACTGGAATTTGACACAACACTGTAAAATGACTATAACTTAATAAAAAAAAGTTAAAAAAAAACTAATTCCCTCAAAGGGACCCAGGTTTAATTGAATCAGACCCTAGAGCGATTTATGCCTTACAGCATTGTTGACAATAGAGCTGACAATTCACAGAGCATAAATGGTGGGTCGGATACCAGCAGAGGCAGACAGTTTTACAGAGAGCTCAGGGAAAGAGAGTGTGAGAGAGTCCTGCTAAAACTCCTACCATCCCAGTTACCCTGCGTATGTCCAGGGCTGCATCCTCTTAGCAGTCATATCAGTGCTTCACAATGAGGGGGCAAAATGCTTCACTAAATAGTCCATCCAAGTCACCGAGGGAGTAAACAAGCAAATGACAACAAACCCTGGAGAAAGGGGCAGGAAAATCAGTATCCACCATTGCTACAACATATTAATCAGAAAGTCTAATTTTCAACAAAAAATTATCAGACATACAAAGAAACAGAAAAACTATACAGAAAAACTATGACCTGTAGGCAGGGAAGAAAGCATACAACAGAAATTGTCTGTGAAAGGGCACAGAGAGAAGATTTAACAAATCAAGATTTCAAAACAGCCATTTTAAGTATGTTCAAAGAACTAAAGGAAACCATGATTTAAAAAAATAAAAGAAGGAATGTCTCATCAAATAAAGAATATCAATAAAGACAAACTATTTTTTAAAAAGAACCTAAGTGAAAATTTTGGAATTGAACGATACAATAGCTGAAATGAAAAATTCCCTAGAAATTCTCAAGAGTAGATTTGAGCTTGCAGAATAAAGAATCAGCCAACTTGATGATAAGCCAATAGGGATTATGTAATCCAAAGAAAAAAGATTAAAAACAAAGAGTGAGAAAAAAATGAACAGAGCCTCAAAAAACTATATGGGACATCATTAGGCACACCGATGGCACATGACAGAAGTACCAGGATGAGAAGTGAGAGAAAGTAGGAAGTCATGACTGAAAGAGATTAATCTTCACATTTAAGAAGCTCAATAAAGTCAAAGTAGGAAAACACAAAGAGACACACACCATCATACTAAATCATACTAAAAATGCTGAAGGGGAAAATTTTGAAAGCAGCAAGAGAAAAGTGATTCACCACATACAAGGGGACTCAAAAGATAAACAGCTGACTTTCCATCAGAAATAATAAGGCCATAGGGTGGTGAGATGACATAGCCAAATGCTGAAAGAGAAAGACTACCAATCAAGAATCTTATATACAGCAGAACTATCTTTCAAAAATGAAGATGAAATAAAGACATTGCCTACTCCCTCCAAAAAGAAAAAAACAAAAACAGAATTTTTTGCTAGCAGCCCTGCCTCACAAGAATTACTAACTGAGGTTCTTTAGACTACTAGCAAGTGATCCTATGCCATATTTTGGATCCGTATAAAACAAAAATAAAACAAAGAAAAAACCCAAAGAGCACTGGTAAAGGTAGTTATATACTTATAAAAGGCAATACAGATGAGTATTTCTTTAAAAAGGACACTATGAACAAATGTACAAAACAGAGACTCACAGACATAGTAAATAATCTTATGGTTATTGGGGAAATAGGGCGGGAAGGGATAAATTTGGGAGTTTGAGATTTATAAATGTTAGCCACTATATATAAAATAGATTTAAAAAAGTTTCTTCTGTAGAGCACAGGGAATTATGTTCAATATCTTATAATAACCTTTAATGAAAAAGAATCTGAAAATGAATATATGTATGTATATTCATGACTGGGACATTTTGCTGTACACCAAACATTGACATGTTGTAACTGACTGTACTTCAATAAAAAAGAAAAAAAAAGTGAAATAAATGTGTATTTCTTTTCCTTTTAACTGATTTTAAAAGAAATTATAAAAATAATATATACATAAAATTATACTGTTGGGCCTATAATGTATGGAAATACATTTCACAATAACAACACACAGGAGGTGGGGAGCAAAGCTGTATGGAGTAAGGAAATAACACTGGATTTTAACTTGAATTCACAGGAACAAAAGAAGAGGACCGTAAATGGTAAATTAGAAGATTAACATAACAAAATCTATAAATATATACTGTTCTTCTCAGCTTCTTTAAAGGACATAAAATTACATAAAGCAATAATTGTAGCAAAGTATTATTACATATGTTACATATACAGATGTAATATGTATAATAATATCACAAAAAGTGGAAGAGAAAATAGAGAGCTATAGGATATACAGAATATATATGATGTTCGGTATCTCCTTGGAATTAATATAAGTCTAAAATAGATTCTGCTAAGGTGAGACGTATATGGCAAGCCCTAGAGGAAACACCAAGAAAACAAATAAAAAACAAAAGTGAAAAACATAATTAACAGAATTAGAATGTTACACTACAAGAGATTCACTTAATGCAAAAGAAAGCATGAAAGGAGGAACAGAGAAACAACAACATGATACATACAGAAAATGACAAGTAAAATGGCAGATGTATATCCCACATAGCAGGTATAACATTCAGTGTGAATGGATTTAACAATCCAATCAAAAGGCAGAAGTGGTCAAACTGAAAAAAAGTAGAGATACAATTATGTGCTGTCTACAGGAGATGTACTTTAGATTCAAAGATACAAATAGGCTGAAAGTAAGAGGATGGAAAAAGATACATGTTGCAAGCAGCAACCATAAGAAAGTTGGAGTGGTTATACTAGTATTAGACAAAATAGACTTTAACACACACACACACAAATACTATTACAAGAGATAAAGAGAGCCAATTCATAATGATAACAGGGTCAATCCATCAGGAAGACATAGCAGTTAAACAGACGTGCACTTAACAACACAGCCCCCAAAATATGAAGCAACAACTGACAGAATTGAAAGAAGAAATCGATCACTTAACAATAATAGTTGGAGACTTCAATCCTCCACTTTCAATAATGGATAGAACAAGAAGATAGAAGTGCAACATGGAAACAGAAGACTTGAATAACACTGTGAACCAAACACTATCAATATAGAAGACATGAACAACACTACAAATCAAATCACTAAGAGGCATCTATAGTACCTCTAATGAACAACAGCAGAACACACATTCTTCTCAAGTGTACATGAAACATTCTTCAAAATAGACAACGTACAGGACCATAAAATAAGCCTCAATAACCTTATATGAATTAACTTACACAGTTGTGTGTTCTCTGACCACACTGGAATGAAATCAGAAATCAATGACAGAAAGAAACTTGGGAAATTCACAAATACGTGGAAATGAAGAAACACACTTCCAAATAACAAATGAGTCAAAGAAGAAATCAAAAGGGAAATTAAAAAATACTTTGAGATGAATAACAACAAAAGCACAGCATACCATACCTTACTGAGTGTGCTAAAGCAGTGCTAAGCAGAATATTTATAGTCGTAAATGCCTATGTTAAAAAAAGAAGAAAGATCTCCAATAAATAGCCTAAAATTCCACCTTAACAATGGAAAAAGAAGAGCGAACTAAACCCAAAGCAAGTAGAAGGAAATAACGAAGATCAGAGTAGAAATTAATGAAACAGAATTTTAAAAAATAGATAAAATCAACAAAACCAGAAGATGATTCTTTGAAAAGATCAACAAGATTGGCAAGTCTTTAACTCCAATGACCAAAAAAAGAACAGAAAGAAGAATCAAATTACTGAAACAGGAATGAAAGAGGGGACATTACTCCAGACATTACAGGAAAAAAAGATTACAAGGGATTACCGTGATCAATTATTTTTCAACAATTTATTTAATTTAGGTGAAATGGACAAATTCTTAGAAGGACACAAAGAACCAAAATGGACCGAGGAAGAAACAGAAAGTATGAATACAACTATAGCAAGTAAAGAGATTCAATTAGTAATAATTTTTTAAAAAAAAAAAACCTACACACAAAGAAAATCCCAGGCTTAGACATCTGCTGAATCTGCCAAACATTTAAAGAACAATTACCAATTACTCACAATCTCTTCCAAAAGTGAAAAATAAAACAGCAAACAATTCCAACTCATTCTATGAGTCTAGGATCACCCTGATATCAAAATCAGACAAAACATAACAAGAAAAAAAAAATCCTACAGGTCAATATATCTTACAACTAAAAATGCAAAAATTCTCAACAAAACACTACCAAACAGAATCTAGTAACCTATAAAAAAGATTGTACACCATGACAAAATGGAATTTAATCCCAGGAATGCAACATTGGTTTAACATCTGAAAATCAATCAATGTAGTACACCATATTGATAAAGGACACAAACTCGTATCATCTCAACAGGCACAGAAAGAGCATTTAACAAAATTCCACACCTCTTCTAAATAAAGCACTCAATAAACTTGGAATGGAAGGAAATTCTTCAACTTGATCGAGTCTTTATGTAAAATCCACAGCTAATATTATACTTAATGGTAAAAGATTAAATGATTTCCCTTTAAAAAAGTTTTTTTGTGGGGGAGGTAATTAGGTTTTGTTTGTTTGTTTGTTTACTTATTTATTTTAATGGAGGTACTGGGGATTGAACCCAAGACCTCGTGCACGCTAAGCATACACCGTACTACTGAGTTACACCCTTCCCCCAAATGATTTCACACAGGCGACCACATGGATGAACCTTGAAAATATTATGCTAAGTGAAAGAAGCCAGCCACAGAAGAGCATACAGTGCATGACTCCATTTGTATGAGATGTTATGAGCTACAGAGATTAAGATTAATGGCTGTCACAGGCTAGGGAAGGGGCAGGGGAGGGGTTTGAGGGGGGATGGCTAGGGGTGCAGGGTTTCTTTTTGAGGTAATGAAAATGTTCTACAGTTGATTGTAGTGATGATTGCATAACTCTGCGAATATCCTACAAGTTGTTGAATTATACGATTACAAATAGGTAAATTGTATGGTATGTAAATTGCATCTCAATAACTCTGTTATTAACTAAGAACAACCCAATGCCGTGTGGACACCCAAAAGCTTCCCCTAAACTGGCTGTAAATTGTCTTGGGGATGGGGATTTTCTGCTCAGGGCCTCCTTTGTTGCCAGCTCTGGCTTGGTTCCACAACACCCTGACCCAGAAATGGAACCCAGCCTTCTGGGTTCTGTCCTCCCAATCTGCCCTGCCTCTTAGGAAGCATCCATGACGCCACTGCAGTTGGGGCAGAGGAGACAGGAAGGGGTGACATTACAGAAGAGCAGGCAGCTTTCAAAAGAAGAAACTTCAGGCATCCTGGTTTTTAGGACACACCACATCCATTTGTTAACTGACGGGCCCTCCACAGCCTTGCGCTCACGGTCCCCACCGTTCCTCAGGCTACGGCTCCAGCAACGCCCTTCCCTGCCTGAAGCAAACCAAATTCCTCCCTAACATCTCTTAGGCGCAGCTGTTCAAAACCAGACACATCTTTTGTGGCCTTGAGATTGTCCTTTCAATGGCCCCTGAGCTCACGTTCCACCCAAGAAATTTCTCGGTTTTTTTTAAACAAAGGTAAGTGTCTCCCTAAGAAGAATTCGACTGTCAGCTGTTGACACTAATGTGCTTATTGTTTTAAGGCAGAGAGAACAGTTTAATGAACCTTCTGTATCCACCACCTTCAGCTCCAACAATTATCAGTGTTTTCCCAACCTTGTTTTCATATAAGATTAATTCTTACGTGGGGGGAGGGTCACAGGGAGAGGGCTTTTAAAATACAAATGCTCCCATCAGAACAAGACAGAATATAGGCTTGACAACCTTCTGTTCTTCCCCAATTCGGGGAATCCAGGGAGAGGACTGGAGCGTGGGAACCCCCCAGAGCCTGCGGGGTGCTGAGGGTGGGCACGGAGCGGCTGGCTCAGGTGTGTGGACCAAGTAGACGGCGTGGGGTGTGTGGACGGCGGCGCCCCCTGAGGGCTGTCCGGGACCTCGCTCTGGGGCCTCGCTGTGGGCGGGGCTAGAGCGCAGTGTCGGGCTCGGGGTCCTGCGGCGCCACCTCGCGGGAGTAGAATTCATCAATCATGCTCTGCGGGATGCGCTTCAGCATCTCCTTGGGGAAGATGCGCAACAGCTTCCAGCCCAGGTCCAAAGACTCGAACACGGAGCGTTTCTCATAGGGGCCTAGGGATGGAGCAGAAGTGTTAAGGGTGTGTGTGGGGGTGTGTGTGCCAGAGTATGGGGGTTACTGCCTAACCGCCCCTGCCCCGTGCGCCTCACCTTGATTGATGAAATTCTTCTCAAACTTCTGCAGGAATTCTAGGTAGAGCAGGTCCTCTGAAGTGAGCGCCTCCTCCCCCACCACTGCCTTCATGGCCTGCACATCCTTCCCGATGGCGTAGCAAGCGTACTGGGTGAAGGGTGAGGCCGTCTGAGGTCATGGCAGGTTTATCATAGGAGTAGTAAGTTCCCCTATCTGACTGTGCAGGGACCCCCAAAAGGGGAGGGATTTTTGCCAGGAGAAAAGCTCGTGGTCTAGATAAGGCTCCAACCTCCAGTTTCTGGAACTGGGTAACCCACCAGCCCTTGGATTCTCTCCTTCTTACCAGCTGGTTGGAGACATCTCCATGGTCCTTTCTCGTCATCCCTTCCCCAATGGCGGACTTCATCAGCCGCGACAGGGAAGGGAGCACGTTGATGGGGGGGTAGATCTAGGGCAGCAGAAGAAGGGAGTGGTAGAGGCGGGGTCTAAACTTTCCCTTCTTCCGCACCTCTACTTGTATGCCCCCCCCCCCGCTGACCCTGGATTTCAGGAAACTGGTCCCTATTCATCCAACAGAAAGGTCTGTTGGTCACACCTGCCCTTCTTTATCTCCCACAAATTCTAGGGCTTGTCTACACGCGTACTCCTAGACAGCCGAGTGGAGGGGGGAGATGGCATGACATTAGTTAATGAAAATCTCGCTATTTCAAAACTTTTGATTATTTGGACAGGAACCAAAAGCTTGTTTTCGCTTGAAGCTGAATAGTTATAGCTCCAAAGAAAGAAGCTGCCAAGCAAAGAGGAAAAAGTCATAAGGGGTTGCCTTTAACCTCAAATGGGACTGACCCATCTTCTAACCCTTTGGCACGTTATACACTATCTACTTGTGTCACCAAAGCACATTACTAGAAAGGAAAGAAAATGGTATTTATTTAGTACCTACTATCTGCTACCTGTTTTCCATAATGCCAACTTATTTTATTCTCCACAATGTAACTGCATGCTAAGTATTATTATTCTCATTTTATAGATGAGGAAACCTAGGATCAGAGAGATGAATATTTTCTCAATGTCCCACAACCAGATAGGCTGGATTCCACCTAGACGTGTCTTCTTCTGCGAACCACAGTCTTCCTGGGGGGTTGTGTCCTATTTTGGGGTTAGCCTTGCCTGGCCCCTCCCAATTCACAGGGAGATGAAGCTCAAAGGGTTGGCAGGAGATCTGTGGGCCAGTGTCTTTGGGGATGATGGAGAGAGCAGGAGGTGGCTAGGGAGGGGACAGTACCTGTCTGTTGTGAAGCTGTCTGTCCACATAGATCTGTCCCTCCGTGATGAAGCCTGTCAGGTCTGGGATCGGGTGAGTGATATCTGCAAGGAAATTCCCTGGTGTCAGTGTAGATGGCGGCCAGGTCTCGGCCCACTCAGGGCCATGTAGGTTCCATTCCCTTACAGGAGTGGGTGATGGATGGAGGCAAGCAAAGAACAGTGTCTATCTGGATGGAGGACGATGTGCTACTGCACATCTATGGAATGAAGCTCGGGCCCTTTAAGTGTCTGGGTGGGACGGAGGGCAGGGGCTGCGGAGCGCAGCGGGCAGTGAGGCAGCTGACCGTCGTTGGGCATGGTGAGGATGGGGATCTGAGTGATGGATCCGCCACGGCCCTCCACGCGGCCTGCTCGCTCATAGATGGTGGCCAGGTCTGTGTACATGTACCCGGGGAAGCCTCGGCGCCCGGGCACCTCCTCTCTGGCAGCTGAGACCTGCGATATCCGAGGTCACTGGGGTAAGAAAGGGAGCAAAGGGCTGCAACAAGGAAGGGGGAGGGGGAGCTTCACTGACAACGAGTAATGGGGGTCAGGCCTGGGGGGGCAGCTCTGGGTGCAGTGACTAGAGGGAGGCAGGGCTGAACTCGACAACCCCCGCCAGCCACCTCACCTCCCGCAAGGCTTCTGCATAGGAACTCATGTCGGTCAGTATGACCAGCACGTGCTTCTCACATTGGTAGGCGAGGAATTCAGCCGTGGTCAGTGCCAGGCGCGGGGTGATGATCCGCTCGATCCTGAGGGTACAGCTAGTGTTTAGGGAGCCTGGAGGCCCCAGGCCTGTGCTCCATTTAGCCCCAGTGCTGAGTGGAAGGTGAACTGGGAAATTGGTACAGGGCCCAGCAGCAGAGGAGGGGGTGAGGTCAGCCCCAGCCCCGAGCCCTGAGCCCCGATCCCGGAGGCTATGATAGTTCCTGGGAGTGGGCCCTCAGCCATGTCCAAGGTGGCAAAGGAGACAGAGGCTGCGGCAGGAAGGAGCTTGGTAGGAGAGAGATAGGCAGGGCCAGGAGTGTCTGATGAGGATGACAGTGGCCCTGTCCCCATGGTCTCTGCTGTCACGCTCCCTCCCCTCAGGGCGCCTGCACTTGGGTTAGCTGGAGCTTGCACTCTGTGTCCTCAGGGCTCTTTCCTTACAGTTTCCCTCACTATCCCTGACCAGCTTGCTGGTCATCCCGCTCGCCTGCCCCTGCAGCCCCTTCCACTTTGAGCGCTCCTGGGTCCAGGCACTCTCAGTCCCCGGGCTCTGCACCTGTGACTCTCCATCTGGGCCTTGTGCTAGCGGAACTCTGGAACCTTCAGTTCCCAGGACAATTGATTGGGTTTTTCTTTTTCATCACATGACCTGCAAATTTAAACTCCCATTTTCTCAACTTTTAAAATAGCAGTTTTTCTAAGAAAATAGTTTAGGGAAATCTCTCTTTAGAGGTGACCTTGTGGAAGTGAGTCAAGGATGAGGCGCCCTGACTTGGGACGGTGGCCGGGTGCAGGTTGGAAGAGCGGAGGGGCGGCAGGTGCCAGGCGGGCTTGTGGTCCAGCTCCTTCTGTCTCTCGGGGGTCTGTCCCTACCTCTTCCGCAGCCTCAGTTTCCCCGCCTGCACAGCAAGGGGCTGTTCTCCCAGCTCTGGCCGGTGGCCGGAGGTCTGGGATGCCTGGGACCTGGTGCTATGGGTCTGGGGAGGGGACAGGGGCTGCTGCCTGAGGGCAGCATGGGTGTCAGGGGGCAGCTCACGTGGGGTCGTTGGCCAAGTTCAGGAAGAGGCAGACATTGCCCATGGTACCGTTCTGCTCGAAGTCGGACTTGAAGAACCTGGCTGTCTCCATGTTCACCTGGACACACAACAGGGAGGGCTGGAGGCGGGGCCCTGCAGCCTGAGGGATCCTCCCATCTCTTCTTGGTAAAGCCTGTTCACTGACTGGCTAACAGTCACTGGGGAGACCTTGGGGCTTGAGAGGGCAGGGTCTGGGTTTGCTACCCAGTCCAGGGTAGCATCTCATCAGATCCCTAGAGAGAGGTTCAGACTTCAGGCTGTGCTCTGCCCAGTGCCACCCCTGCGCCTCACCTGGCCAGCTGCTTCTCTGCTCAACTCCCTGTCCTCACCTTGGGCTCCCTGAGGGCCTCCAGTATCCCCTCTCTGAAGTTGCCTTGTCTCCCCAGATTCTCTCCTCCACAGCTACCCTGGGCTCATCTTGTATCTGCGGTGGCCTTTGGGAGGCTGTGAGGGACACACTGCCAGTCCCTCCAGACATGCCTTTGCCTCTCCCCCCAGACAGGCCTGGACTCTGCCGGCTTGTCAAGGAGAAGGATAACGCCGCCCTCACCAGACCAGGCCCGCCAGGGGCTGAGGGGCCAGGGCTGCCCACCCACAGCTCCCAGAGCTTGCCAATCGGCCCAGCCCCTCTCACCCCCATGGCTGCAAAGACGATGGCGAAGTTGTCGTCGTGATAGTCCAGCACGGCCTTGGACTTCTTCACCAGCCCAGCCTGGCGGCAGATCTGGGCGGCGATCTGGGGATGGGAGGAAGGATGTCAGACCCAGAGCCGGAGCCCGCCGCCCTGATCACCACTGAGAAGCATGGACGGAGCAGTTCCCAGCACACCCTCTTGCCGAGGCCTGTGGTGGGAGGATTCCAAGGCCAGAAAGGTGGAACGGCTGCCCTGGGTCCTACAACCATTCTCAGGGGAGGGGCTACCCTGCTCTGTGGCACCTGAGGGCCCGGGGTGCCTGTCATGAGGAGCAGGATGGAAAACCAGTTCCAGGGAGCAGCTGCCTACCATGGGTTTGGGGCAGTTCAGCCCTTCAGGACCCCCTGTGCCCCCCAGCCTGCTGGGGTTTATCTGGGGTTTGCCCCAGGCCTGCAGGGTGTTACCAGTCACCACATCCTGATCCAGGATGTGTGTGTCTATAGGGGGAGGCGGGGACACTTACGCCCTCTTATCACTCAGACTATTTTGAGGGTGAGCCGGGGGCACATCAGGAGTAGTTGGGTGGGGGTGATCGGGGGGAGCATCTAGAAACCTTGTCGCACCAGCTGCTCTGAGAAGAGCTGGGCTATTCACTCTTGGTGGCGGGGGCAGGGTAGCAAACCTGTACAGGGGGCCTCAGACAGCAGTGGGGCTGGTACGAGGTGGGTTCACTCATTGCAGGCGAGTACAGACCATTAGCAGGACCAGTGAGCAGAGCTGTCCACTCAGCTGAGCAGGACTTCCAACGCTGGGGCTACCCATGGGCTCTCCTGTGAGCCAGTGTGTGCCCCACTCACTCAGGATGGAGTCTTGGAGATCCGCCTGGGGACACTGAGGCCTTGTGCAGCCCTGAGTCTCTGAGCTGCTGGAAGACAGCTGTCCGCCTGGATGCCGGTGACCACAGCTCGGCTACCTGCTGCCTGCTCAGCATAGGAGGCCTCCTCGCTGGCCCACCAGCCCCGGCCTCTGCTCTGTCCCTTCCCCTTGCTTGTGTCCACAGGCCCCCCACAGTCCTCACCTCGTTGTGGGGGAGCCCAGCCGCTGAAAAGATGGGGATCTTCTGACCACGGGCGATGCTGTTCATGATGTCGATGGGCGAGATGCCTGTCTGAATCATCTCCTCGGGGTAGATGCGGTCATGGGGGTTGATGGGCTGGCCTTGAGGGGAGGCGATCATGGACCCCCGCTCAAGGGTTCAGGTCTTTCCCTGCCCTCCCCCAACCCTGCCGCAGACTCAGGAGCTCTGTTTAACAGGATTTTCTGTGATGATGGCAATCCAGAAAGCAGCCCTGGTCACACATGGCTGTTGAGCATGTGAATTATGGTTTTGAAATGAAATTAATTTCATTTGAATTAGCTTATTTAAATAGCCATAGTCCAGTGCTCCCTTGGATGCCACCCTGGTGCATTAGAAGCGGCAGGCAGGTGGGAGCCGGAAGGCAGGAGAGTGTGGTTCTCAAGTGTGTGGGCAGCTTTGCACAGCGATGGTGAAATTTTACAGGAACAGGTCGTGAAGTGATGCCGCCCCTCTGCGACTCCCACAGCTCACCTGATCTGCCTGTCACTCTGACCAGCCCTGGGGGTGAGCCCTGGGCGATGGCCCTGGCCCATATCAGGGCAGAACTTCCAAGGGCGAGGTGGCAGAGGCAATGACTGGGGTGGGGAAGGTAGCTGGGAGCTGGGTCCTGAGAGCTGTCACACATGCTTCTGGTCACTCACCATTGATATCCAAGAAGTCCTCTGCCATGACCACTGGCCCATTGTCAATAGGTTTGCCAGAGCCATTGAAAACTCGACCTGGGGGTGGGCAATGGGGGTTGCAGGATGCTCAGGACCAGCCCTGGGTCTCTCACTGCTGCTCACCCTCCACACCACCACCAGCTCTCACCTGCCCCTCGTGCCCCAAATGCTCCACGGCCCCTCCCTTCAGCCCTCAGTTATCCCCAAGGAACTGGCTATGGTGTCTGTCTCCTTGGAAGTCTTCCCTCTTCTCCTGGGAACCTTTACAGGCATGGCCTTGGCCCAGGACAATCACTGTAATGGGGGGCTTAGGGCTGGAAAGTGGAGAGGGCCAGGTATGGCAGATCTTGGGGGAAAAGTAGGGGACGTGCAGCCCGTTTCAGCCTGACCCCAAATATATGGCTACATACTCTGCCTCTGGTTTATTGAAACTGCCTTCCTCATGTATTAAACACCTGCTGTATATCAGGCCCTGAGTTGGGTGAGCGGTCAAAGAGATGACACAACCTCTGACCTCAAATGGCTCCCCGGGGAGGCAGACATGTAAGGAGGCAATGCCAGTGGGGTCTGCTAAGCACCTGGTCAGGGAAGCTGGGCTGGCAGGACGGAGGGGCGCCCCCACCCTGCTCACCCTCACCCCTCACCCAGCATGTCCTCCGACACTGGAGTCCGTAGGATGTCCCCTGTGAATTCGCAGGTGGTCTTCTGGGCATCAATCCCAGAGGTCCCTTCAAACACCTATGGGGCAAGAGGTTAGTTTCTCTAAAAAAGATGCTTGCTGGGGAGAGCAGTGCCCCCATTCTAGGCTCCCTGTGAGTCCAGCTCTGGGCAAGGCACTCTCGGGTGGGGTGGGGAAATAGGACATTTTCTGCCTTTGGAGCTTATAAAATAGTGTGGAAACTTTGTGGGCTCACTTATTTATTCAGCCGGCCAACATCGTACTGACATCACTTACCTGAACAATTGCCTTGGTCCCAGCCACCTCAAGCACTTGCCCGCTCCTCTGAGTCCCATTGGGGAGGGTGAAGTTGACGATCTCAGCATACTGGGCAAACTGGCAGAGGGGGAGAGCAGCACAGAGTGGCAGTGAGACAAACCAGAGCTGAAGTTCCTATTTCCTCCCCATCCCTCCTTGACCCAGTCTCAAGCTCCTACCTTCCCTCTTATGCCCAGATTCTCTTGGAAATGAACTTGAGAGACTAGTAAGTGGGAAGTTTGAATTCTGTTTGGGAGGCAGTATACCTGCATGGGTAGGAGCACCAACTTTAGGGTTGGAAGACCAGGGTTAGAATTGAAGCTCTGACACGTAGAAGCTGTGTGACCTTGTGAAAGTTACTTAATGTCTCTGAGCCTTACTTTCCTCATCTTTAATCTGTGGATAATAATAACACCTACTTCATAGGGCTGCTGTGGGGAGAAAATATATGAACGTCATTAGCTGGTGCCTGGACTTTTAACAGTTTAATAAAATGTAGTAGATATTGTGACTGCTTAGATCTCCTGGACAGCACAGTTGTTTCTGCCCCTGTGGACCTGTGGTAAACACACTGGCAAGGTCCTCTCCTCGGCTCCCAGGTGTCTCCATCTACCAGCGGCAATCTTTCCCTAGCCATGGGGCTGGGATCAATTCACATGTAGTCTTCACAGTCTTTCAGGAATAAAAAGAAAAAGTCAATCACTTCTCTTTTGGCTAAGATCCAGTATAGTTTTCATTCTGATCAGTGTAAAAAAGCATCAGGCTATTATCTGGAATACGTAAAGAAATTTTACAAGTCAACAATAAAAAGAGAAATACCCTGATTAAAAAAATGGCAAAGGATCTACACAGACATTTCTCCAAAGAGGATAGACACATGCCCAATAGACACATATAAGCTCAACTCTTTAGTCATTAAGGAAAGCAAATCAAAACTGCAGTGACATAGCCCTTCACGCTCATTAATACGTCCGGAAGAATAAAGACAGATCATAACAGTTGTTAAGGGTGTGGAGAAATGGGAACCCTCAGTCTCTGATGGTGGGAATGTAAAATTATGTGGCCACTTTGGAAAACAGGCTGGAAGTTTCTCAAAAGGTTAGACATAGAGTTACACTATGACCCAACACTTCCCCTCCCAGGTGTATACCCAAGAGAAACAGAAACACCTGTCCATGTGAAAACTTGCACATGAATGTTCATAGCAGCAGTATTCATCACAGGCGAAAAGCGGAAACAACCCAAATGTCCAAAGACTGAAGCATGGATAAACGAAAGGTGGCATAGAACACCCAGTGGAATATTAGTCAGCCTTAATGAGGAACGAAGTACTGCTACACACTGCAACACGGATGAACCTTGAAAACATCATGCTGAGTGAAAGAAGCCAGACACAACAGGCCACATATTATATGATTCCTTTGATATGAAGTGTGCTGAAGAATCAAATCCATAAAACAAAAAGATTAGTGATTGCTGGGGGCTGGAGGAGGGACGATTAAGGGTGACAACTAATAAAATAGGTCCAGGGTTTCATTTTGAGGTGATGAAAATGTTCTGCGGCAGGGAGGGTATAACTCAGTGGTAAGCGTGTGCTTAGCATGCACGAGGTCCTGAGTTCAATCCCTTGTACCTCCATTAAATAAACAAACAAATAAATAACTGAATATATATGTATATATATATAAGTTTATATATATACACATACATATATATAAACTGAATTACTCCCCCCCCCCAAAAAAAACAAAGAAAAATTAAAAAAAAAGAGAGAAAATGTTCTGGCATCAAATAATGGTGATGGTTGCACAACTCTATGTATACACTAAAAACTACTGAACTATGTACCTTAAAAGGGTCAAGTTTATGGTATACAAATTATAACTCAATTAAAAAACCAATCAGGCTGTCTCTCCAGGACCACAGGCAGCAGGTGGGCAGGCAGAGGTCTGCCCCAAGGGAAACCAGGTTCCCAGTCTTCATCCACATCCAGAGGAGGCTATGAGCTGAGCCGAAGAAGCTGGGCTGGAGAAGCAGATCCTCCCCACTGACACTGGTCCTGTGCTCTGATCAGCAGCAGGAGGGCTCAGTCCTGTACCTGCATCTTCTTCCCAGGGGAGGTACTGGAGAGAATGCATAGCATCTCCCCAGGCTCCCTCACCTCGCCTCCCATCCACCCTGCTTCCTTGATTTACTTCAGGGAATAAATCATAATCTTAATCCAGTAAAAATAAATGGTAAAGAGACTGCACCCCTCCTTGTAATGTTCCTAATATTCTGGGAAATTAAAGGAGTACTTTTCTAAATCATTCCTTGAACATTAGAAGAAATCAAAACTGAAATGACAGGTGAAATAGAAAATAATAAAAAAATCTTACTTCATGCCATGGACTTAGAGGACATACCAAGCTGTACCATGTTTTCTGACCAGAGTCAGAGTAAGTCAGAAACCAGTAATGAAAAGAGAGTGAGAAAAGCTTCATTCATATGGAAATTTTGAAATATTCTAAATATGTAAGAACTTACCATCAGATCAGAGAATATTTAGCACCATATAATCAAAAACTATTTCTCAACATTGTATGTGATACACGGAAAACTTAAATGCTTTATATTAGAGAAGAAAAAAGGTAGAGGTAGTTTAAAAGTACGCAACATGGAAAGGTAAAAAAAGAAAGGTGTTAACATTTCAAATAAAATAGAAGAAACAATAAAAGGGCATAAACCATTAAAACACAAACAAATACATAACAGAGAAGATCAACAGAGCCAGACTGGTTCTTTGAAAAGCCCTAATAAAATCAACAAACCTCTGGCAACTCTGATTAAGAAAAAAGGCATGAATAAATAATTACTGGAATAAAAAAATAAAACTAGCAACACTAATAATATTTTTTAAATAATAAAAATTATAAATAACTTTATGCAATATATTTCAGAATTTCGATGCAATGAATAAAGTCCTAGCAGAATACAACTCAAACCAAAAACAATTAAAAACAAAATAGAGAGCCAGGATAGCCCTATAATCTTCAAGATACTGGATGAATAACTTAAAATCTTTCCATGAAGAAAACACCAGTCCCAGACAGTCAGTGAGTTCTAACAATTAAGGAAAAAATCATTTGAAACTTACTTAAGCTCTCAAAAGACTGAAAGAAAAATTCCAGTCTTAATTCATTTTATGAGGCAAGGATAACCTTGATACAAATGAGATAATAATGGAAAAATGATACGCAATCTTAATCATAAACATAGATGCAAAAAGACTAAACAAATATTAGCAAACTAAATCCAGCAATGTACAGAAAAAGACCAAGTTACAAACAAACCAAATAACAAAAAAAAATTTTTTAAACAAAAAAATGAAGATAAACACATACGCGCACACAAATAAAAAAAAGAAGACCAAGCTGGGATTAGTCCAGGAATTCAAGGTCATCTAATATTAGAAAATGTATCAGTGGCAGGGAGGGTATAGCTCAGTGGTAGAGCACATGCTCAGCATGCACAAGGTCCTGGGTTCAATCCCCAGTACCTCCACTGAAAAAATTAAAAATAAAAATAAATAAAAAAGAAAATGCATTAATGTAATTTACCTTATTAATGGATTAAAGTATTTAAAAACCTGATATCTCAAAAAAAGTTTTAGAAAAAGTAAAAAAAAACCTATCTATGATTGAAAACAAAAAACAAAGAACAAAACTACTCTTTGAAAATAGAATAAAAGGGAAATTCCTTAACTCCAAAGTAGCCTCAAAAAACCCTACAGAGAATATCATACTCAATTGTATAATGTATAAACATTCTCTTTAAAATTTAGAGCAAAACCACGATGCCTGCTATCATCATTCCAGTCAGCATTGCGCTGGAGGAAATAACCAAAGTAATTAGATGAACAGAAAACAGAAATTAGAAGGAAACAGAAGTATAATAAGGAAAACTCTGACACCCCTAATCTAATAAAGATAGCACCCCAAAAAGCCTACAGACCAATTTCTCTTATAAAGATAGATGCAGACATTATAAATAAAGTATACGCCAGCCAAACTGAACAGTATATTAAGTAAGTGTGACCACACAGGGTTTATTCCAAGAATGCAAGCATAGGTCAATCAACATTTAGGAACTGGTCAGCATTTGACAGTATAGTTCATAACAGGAGAGAGTTTGTCAGCATAAAGGAAAAACCCCACAAGATTATGTAAACAGAAACCAAAGGCTTTTGACAAAATTCCACAGCTGTTTCTAATACAATTCTATGTAAAACAGAAACGGAAAAGAACTCCTTAAATACCAGACTATTTACCAAAATGAGCATCAACATCCTTGTCAATGGTAAAATGCTAAACCCATTTTCATTTCCAATAAAATCACTAATGCAGAGAGAGAAATGCCTGTATCACCAATGTTACTTAACATTGTTTCGGTAATTTCAGTTTATACAAGTAGACAAAAAAAAATTGAAAATAATATCAATAAACATAAATGGAGAAAGTTCTATTTTTTAAAAAGGTAGTGAGAGGAGACTGTATTTTCCAGAAATGTGAAAGAAAGACTGTGGAAATATTCCAGATGACAGGAAGCTAAACAGTCATGATGATTAACTGTGATTCCTGGCCCTAGGCTGGATCCTACACGGGAGGGAGGAAATGCTCTAAAGGACTTACACTAAGTTAGCTGATAAATGGGAATATAGATTGTAGATCAGATGAAAGTATCAGTGTAAATTTCTCAAGTTGGTAACTCTACCGGGTTGTGCAAGGAAATATCCTTATTTAGGGGAATTACATACTGGTGTTTGGGGCATAATTTACCCTCAAAAGATCTAAAAAAAAGATGATGCCCACATACACACATGCAGGCACACGCAGACCATGTGACTGAACAGATGGGTCTGTGGATGTCCCTCGCACTATTTTTATTTTTGCAACCTTTTATAAATTTGAAATTGTTTCAAAGTTAAGCTTAAAATTAAAATATGCCAATGGAAAAAGAGACATAATTCCCTTTATTTGCAGGTGATATTGTGTGTCTAAAAAAACACAAATGGATCTGGTTTAAAACAAAAACAAAAAGAAACAACAACAACAAAAACCCAGGATTAATAAGAGAATTTGGCTGACCACAAGATAAACATGTAAAAATCAATCTCACATTATTTTCAATAATAGGTCATTACAAGATACTGAATATAATTCCCTGTGTAATACAGTAAATCCTTGTTGCTGATCTGTTTTATGTATAGTAACTTGGATCAATCACA